GGGCGCCACATACAGGGCGTGGAGCGCCACTTTCTACGAGAGGCTCATGCCCGGGCGCAACAGAGAGGGCGCCGGGCGCAACTTTATGCGAGAGTTTCGCGCCTAGGCGCCCCTGAGGAAGGGGGGGCTAGACCTATTTAAGGCATTCGTGAACTGAGGGTGGATCTTCTTGGCGGCTGAAGCTAGAAAGACCATTCTTGGACCTCTGGGAGCTGGTTTTGGGCAGTGGGAACTCTCCATTCTTCTTCCTTGGGTCTCCATCTCTTCCATTTTTCTCCATTGTAAGCTCAAGCTCTCCATGACTACGGAGAGCTAAATTCAATTTGTTGGGGAATGATGTAACTATGAAACTTTCATGTAAATGCACTTGTGTTCATTGAATTTAAGCTTCTTTCACTTATTGTGAGTGTTTATTTCCTTCTCTTAAAGCTTGTTGTGGATTGATCAACCATAGCATGAATCTTAGGTTTGCTTGATATTGGGAAGTATTATGTGAATCTTGAACTGGAATAAACACCAAAAGGAAATTGTTTCTAGGGATAGAGCTTGACCCTTTTGTTGTCTTAAACCCCTATTCTTAATGCAGATGAACTTTCTAGGTTACCAAGGGATTGGAACTGAACGAGTGAGTTTAGGCTCTTTCTACCAAGGGATTGGGTTTGAGTATTGTCGGCAGGTTAACATGAGCAATTAATTGTAGAAGTAGTAATGTGCATTTGCATGAGAGTGTAGTAATTACAGTCATTCTCCAACATCTCTAATCCATATTATATCATCTTTCATTAATCCACTTTCAATTGTTTTGTCCCCAAGAAGTTCAAATTATCACGTATATATGAAGTTAAATTTTGTTGTACTAAAACCATATCAAAAAGGAATATTCTTTAGTCTAAATTAGTTAAATAAGTATACAATTGTAGAGTATTATACGAGTTCCTTAGGATACGACATCCGGTCTTACCGGTTTATTACTTAGAACGATTTGGTGCACTTGCCAAAGAAATTCTTCAACAAGTTTTACCCATTTTCACATCCTTTTTTAATGAAATCAAGAACCAATTTGGTCACGTAATTAAAGTCTTAAGAAGTGATAATGCTAAAGAGTATTTCTCATCAACTTTTTCTTCACTTCTTAGCTCCCATGGTATTTTGCATCAGTCCACTTATCCTCATACACCCCAGCAAAATGGTATAGCCGAAAGAAAAAATAGACACTTGGTTGAAACGGCTCGTACCCTTTTGCTTGGTGCTCATATTTCTGTTCATCACTAGGGGGATGTCATCTTAACTGCATGTTTTCTTATTAATAGGATGGCCTCCTCCTCTCACAATAATAAAGTCCCTTTCTCCATTCTCTTTCCCAATGATCCTCTATTTCACACCTCTCCTCGAGTCTTTGGTTGTGTTTGTTTTGTTCACGACATGTCTCTGGGGCTCGACAAGCTCTCTGCTCGTGCGATCAAATGTGTCTTTTTGGGCTATTCTCGGCTTCAAAAAGGGTATCGGTGTTACTCTCTTGAAACCAAAAAGTACTACATGTCTACCAATGTTACCTTCTTTGAACATACACCTTTCTTCTCTCCCTCTGTTCAAGATGTTCATATCCTCCACCAAATCCTTCCTCTTCCAGTGGTTGAGTCTAATATCTCCAATGCCTCAGTCAATCCAAGTCATGCCCAAGGTCCTCCCAAACCTTCCTCTCCACATACTAATATCCTTTGACATAGTACCCCGGTGAGTAATCCTCTTCCAAAAAATGGTGGATCTCCTCCTTCAGATTCTTCTCCGTCACCATCTCCTGTCACGCCTCATGGATCCCATTTATAATTTTCTTAGTTATCACAAAGTGTCGCCCTCCTTTTTTTCCCTTTTATCCTCAGTATCTCCTGTGGTTATTCCTAAAAATGTGAAAGAAGCACTTGATCATCCTGGATGGCGACAAGCCATGATTGAAGAAATGCAGGTTCTTGACCACAGTCATACTTGGGAGCTTGTGCCACTTCCCCCGGGCAAAAAGACTGTTGGTTGTCGATGGGTATATGCAATTAAAGTCAGCCCTAATGGTGACATTGATAGGCTCAAAGCCCAGCTGGTTTCAAAAGGGTACGCTCAGGTTTATGGTCTTGATTATTGTGACACCTTTTCTCTCGTGGCCAATGGCAGCCATTCGTCATTGGCCACTTCATCAGTTGGATATCAAAAATGCCTTTCTCCATGGTGATCTTGAGGAAGAAGTTTATATGGAGCAACCTTTAGGGTTTGTTGCTCAGGGGGAGTCTGGTATGGTTTGTAAATTGAACCGATCTCTATATGGGCTCAAGCAATCACCACGTGCTTGGTTTGGAAAGTTTAGCTCCATTGTTCAAAAATTTGGGCTAAAACGCCGTGAAACAGATCATTCAGTCTTTTATTATCATTTGTCTCCCGGGAAATGTGTTTACTTATAGTATATGTTGATGATATAGTTATTACAGGAAATGATATTGTTGGAATATCTCAATTGTAGGAGTACTTGTGTAGACATTTCCAAACCAAGGATCTTGGGAGCCTCAAATACTTCCTACGCATTGAAGTAGCTTAGTCAAAAGATGGAGTTGTAATCTCCCAAAGGAAGTATGCTCTGGATATTTTGCAAGAAACAGGCATGATTGATTGCAGACCGGTTGATAGCCCTATGGATCCAAATCAAAAATTAACAACAGAAGAAGGTGAATTATTCTCCGACCCGGAGAGATATAGGAGGCTAGTTGGAAAACTAATCCATCTCACTATTACGAGGTCAGATCTATCTTTTGCAGTTGGAGTGGTTAGTCAGTTTATGCAAGCTCCATGTGTTGGCCATTGGAATGCTATCATTCGCATTCTAAGCTATGTGAAAAAAGCTCCCGGGCAAGGGCTGTTATATGAAGAAAAAGAAAGTCGTCAGGTATCAGGATATTGTGATGCTGATTGGGCAGGTTCTCCTATTGATAGACGATCTAGTATTGGATATTGTGTTTTCCTTGGAGGAAACATTATCTCATGGAAAAGTAAGAAACAAAATGTAGTGGCTCGATCAACAGTTGAAGCTGAATATAGGGCAATGGCTTCATTAACATGCGAACTTATATGGGTGAAGCAGTTCCTTCAAGAGCTTAACTTCTGTGACATCCAAAGTATGAAGATGTATTGTGATAACCAAGATGCTCTTCACATTGCATCAAATACAGTGTTTCACGAGAGAACCAAACATATAGAAATTGATTGTCATTTTGTTCGGGAAAAATTATTGTCAAAAGAAATATGTACTGAGTTTGTTGGATCAAATGACCANCCTATTTTAATTAATTGTTTCTTAACCGCACTTCGAAGTGCGTTTTAATTAATTTAAATCCAAAATAATATTTAACATTACATATAATAATTATTATTTAATTCAATAAACAATTTAATAATTATTTCAATTTTATAAAAAATTAAAAAACTTAAATAAAATTAAATACATAATAAATAATATATTAAGAAAATAATAATATGTTGAAAAATAACAAATTCAACAAAATTTAACAAACAAATAAATTATTCAAAATATATTAAAACAAAACATTTTATTTAACAACTAACATAAAAAATTAAATTTATTATACTAACCTAATAAAAATAAAACCTAATAAAATAAATATATACTAACCTAATAAAAAAATTAAAAAACTAAATCCTAAAAATCTAACGCACTTCGAAGTGCGGTTTGTCTCAGCCTGCCGCAGATCGAAATGCGTTGGTGGGTTTTTGCTTTTCGCAGATCGAACTGCGGTTTCTCTTTGGAGGTGCAGGAGGAAGTTGTCGCAGTTCGAAATGTGGTTTCTCTGTGAAGGGTATTATTGGAATTAAAATATGTTTTGGAGGTGCAGGAAGGATAACGTGAGGTGTAGGGAGAATCACTCTTACTTATTTTAACTAATCTAATTCTAATGTAAGTGGATGAGAAAAATTGAGCAAGAGAGAATTTGCTTAACAAACTAAAATTCTCAATAAACTCATGTTAGGGATAATTCTTATTACAAAAGGATTTTATTAAATAAAATTATATTGTACACAAACAAAAGAAAAACTATTATGAAAAAAAAAGTTAACTATATTTTCGGTCTTAAATTTTGATAAAAAAATTAAAATTGCTTCCTAAAATTGATATATTTTTAAACTCAATTATATAAAATTTATTTGATGTGTTAAAAAATTTTGAAAATCAAAATATAGAAAGTTTCAAAAATAAAAAAAATTTAAGTTTACATCAGAGTTTAAAAAATAAAATTATACTTTACGAAAAAATGAACCATATCCTTTTTCTTAGTTAATGAGATTCAAAGTATATAATAATTTTCATGAACAAAATCATAATATTTTATAATAATATTCTTCTTAGATTCAAAGTATATAATTATTTTCATGATGTGGATGATATAATTTTATCACAAGTTTAATGTGATTTCATAATTTTTTTTTTTAGCAAAATCTTAATGTAATTTTTCATTTGTGAAAAATAAATAACCAACTTACAATAGTAAACATTACAAAAGGCAATTACTACAAAGGTCAACAAAAATATCATATATAATTAAAAAACATTACAATAAAATTTACCCTATTAGTACACAAACTATTAAATGTACAGGTTTTCAAAATATCGTATAAAGCACGTGTCAATTATCATAGTTATTTACTTAATATAAATTTTGCATTGTTAACTCGATTTATAATTTTTTCTTGCAAATTAAGAACTTTGCCTTTTTATTGGTCTTATTTTTTATTAAAATTAAATCACTAAATTATTTTAAATTTAACAGTCAACAAAAATTATATATTAACATTACAATAAAATTTTCACTTAGTACACAAACTATTAAATGTACAGGTTGTTCAGAATATGGTATATCGTATAAAGCATATCGTACAAAGCACGTGTCAGTTATCAAAGTTAATTACTCATTATAAATTTTGCATTGTTAACTATGAAATCATTAATAATGTTAACTTATGTATTTTTCTTCAATAAATGGTAATAAAATTAAGAGGATTGAGTAATAAGTTACAGTCATGAAGAGAGAAACTAAACACTTAGAATAGACATTACAATATATGTACATTGCATATATTTTAAAATGTCAAGGATCAGCAACTTTACCAATGATGACGGAGGCATATTTGGCTATGGATGATTCTGGAGACTGCTGAAGCCTTCCAATCACAGGGAACAAAGGTGATGAACGGATGAATTGTCTACAGAGTGGATGTGCACACATCTTTGCAAGGGAAAACAGAGCGATCTTAAGCGGAGATTCGTTTCCTGAATCATTTCTGCCTGGATTTAGGGCTGATACCGCACAATCAGAAATTAATTTCAGCAGAGACTGCAAGGGAAAAACACGATCCAACCCATACAAAGAATTAGTTGCATCCAAAGCAAGTAGTTGAGTATCACTACCACTAAAATTTTAAAAAATTGACTGTTGGAGAGATTGACATTAATAGTTCACTGGTTTTTTAGATTACAAAGTTGCATGACTTGCACGATTTTATTATAATTTTGTGAAAGAGAACATAGCCAATATTATTTTCCCTATAGCCATGAAATGGAAATCAAAACAAAGGTTTTTTTAATTAAGTTTACATATATCTATACATGTTAAAACTACTACTAAAGTTTTTTAAACTATTTTATTTGAATATAGCACTTTTTACTTTTACATAAAGAATTTAATTAGATTTAAATATAAAAACTATTTGAATATTAAACGGTATTTAATAATTTCAAAATATCAGTTGTTGGTCCTCGTTTTTTTATGGTAATCTCAGTTAGGTCCTCATGTTTTTAAGTGTCTCAATTGGGTCATATTTTTTGTAAATTGAGTCAATTTTGTCATAACCGTTAAATTGTAACAAACGGTGTTAGTTGGTGCTGACGTGTTCCATAATTAATACGCTGATGTCAAAATATTTTATTACTTGGAATTTTTATTTAATTTAAGAGATTATGGCATGGCAACCCTTGGTCGTTCTCTTTTTCTTCTTCGTTTGATCTTCTATCTGGGGTAAGGAAAGTGCTCGCGATGGCGCAACCAAATGGCATTTGTGGTGGCATTTCCTGTTTGCATCAGTGGAAGGCAATGGCTGGTATCTACGCCTTATCAGAAGCAAGCTCCTCCTCCAAAATGAATCAGGTGAACATCCAAGAAAGCCCCCTCCTCCTGTCCCCGCCGCACCCCAACCCAAAATCGTCCTCCTCCTCCCTACCACCAGCGCCACCACCTCTGAACCATCTTTGATGGCACATTCAAGCTCGTCCGCGACCGCGACCTGGATCACGCGGTGGAGCGCGAGAAAAGCCTTAAACCCGTGATCTCCCTCAAAACCTTCATCAAACGTGAACCCTCCAAATCCCTCCCTCTTTCACTCATCAAAAGCACCCTTCACTTTCCCTTCTGCCCCATCAAATTCATCCGCAAGTACCCCTCCGTCTTCAAAGAGTTCCTCCCCACTCCCACCATCCTCCAACCCTACACCTTGACGCCGAGGAGCAGCTCGTATACCAACCATCTAACAAGCTCTTGAAACTCTTGATGATTGCAAGAATCCACAAAATCCCACTGCCACTCATTGAGCACTTGCAGTGGGACCTTGGCCTACCGAATGACTACACCGAGACGGTTGTACCTTGAACTCGTCTGTTGGAGCCACGAGCTGGCAATTTCGGTTATCAAGAACCAAAACAAGAAAATGAATTTGATGGTCAATTAGTGTTTCCTGTGCAGTTTTCTACTGGTTTTGAGATGGATAAGAAGTATGACAGCGAGGATGATGAGGGTAGTGGTGAGGGTTCGAAGGATTTTTCAAATTGGGTCTATGTGATTTTTCTGAGTGCAGGTTATTTTTCTCCTTTTTTTTTTTGCTAGCATAATTTTTCTACTTTTTTTTAATTTATTAAATTCCATGTCATAAGTGGCAGCATACTTTTTTAAGAGAAAATATCCACCTCACTATATCTATCTCAACACCGTTTGTGACAACTTAACGATTATGGCAAAATTAGTTCAATTTTATAAATATTTAGACCCAATTAAGATATTTTGCAAATACATAGACCCAATTGAAACAGTTGAAAATATGATGACTCATTTGAGATTTTCATATAAATAAGAGGACCATCCGAGGGTTTAAGGTTTTATTTAGTAATTAAGGTTTTATTTAGACCAAAATATAAAAAACCAAATAGAATACACACTAGATTTTATTTTAACATTTGATTGAATTTCTAAGTAATAATTCAAAATATCAGTCATTTGTTTTCGACCAAAATATGAAGAAAAAAAAAACAAATAGTTGATTGAATAGTCAGTTGGTTTTCACTATTTTTTTAATATTTGATTGAATTTCTAACTTACTTTAGTTAGTTAAAAACTTCACCAACCTTACATTGACTAAAACATTTTTAATCAATATTAAGATAAATATTTAATAATGTCAAAAAATTGATCATCATAATTTGAAAAAAATGTCAAGTCAACCACGTGAACCTCGTTGTTTGAATTGATCCCGTCTCATTTTTACCCAAGCCAACAATAAATTAAATTACTTCAATAAACTTTTTAACTTACAATTATTTTTAAAATTCTCTACTAAAATGACATACTTTATTATAAAATATTTAGATTTCTAAAAAATGAACATTTTCTGAAAATTTTCAATCCAGACGCATTATTAAAATTTAATCATATTTTTAATCCATAAGAATGTGGAATATCTCCTATTTTAGTTTTCCAAACTATGAAAAGTTTAATTTAATCTCTCAAATTTGGAAAAATATGATCCAGTTTATAAATAATAAATTTGAGGAATACAAAATATATTTAAAAAAATCAGTTAATAAGTTGTTGAAATAGATACCACTTGAGCTTGAGAACATAAATAAAAACTTTCACAATGTTAAAAAAAAAAATGCAGTTTTGCACTAACCTGAACAGCTCCTTTAGATACTATGTCTTCACAAAGTTTGTCAGAGTTGCGAACCAGATTGCTAAGTGCTCCCGCTGCATTTGCCTTAGTCTTATCTTCCTCAGCCATTTGTAACAAATTTGCTAAATGAGGAATCGATCTCCTCAGCTCCTCATACAACAAGTCATTGTGGTAAGCTGCATTTCCAATCTGAATTCAGGTATGGTGCACCAGATTAGAAGAGATGAAAATATAAGAAAAGTGGTAAGTGTACGGTATAAGAAAACATAAACAGGATAGCATCATATCTAAAGCAAGAAGGATAAATTTGTGCTAGACACATCTTTGTACATCGACAATTTAAACAGTTAAATGTTTGACAAGTGAATCATTAAAGAAATAATTGATCGCATTTTATGTTATTATGCCATGCAATTACACTAATATCTCGATTTAAGGATGGTTTAGTGAAAGCGAGGTAAGGAGAGTTCAACTCTCCCACTTATTTGAAAATATAAGATTGATCTGATAGGTTTGAATGAAAAAATAGGAACGATTGTAAATTCAACTTTTTTTTACTAACAAATTCTAACAGTTAACCAATAAAAATCAAATGTATTTTGGAAATCATATACCACAACACAACAATATCCTAAAGCCAAAATAAACAAATTTATAAAATCAAACGCATAAGAACTAAATATGAACGACACCGTTATGATCAAGTTTTAGGTTCTGTAGCGGGAACGTGGTAAAACTTACAGCAAAACAAGCAAACTTTCGTGTTCGTTTGTCTGGATCAGAACATCTTTCGATAAGGATACCAACAATTTGATGTCTAGCCTGGAAATCACAATTGAAAATAAGAGAATTCAAAATATGAGAACAGAAGAAAGCATAAAATCACTTTCGTTTTTCACACGTGTGCTGTGTCCATCCAGAAAGGAACACTTACGGCCATAGTATAAATCTTTTTCATAAAATTGTTCATATTTAACAGTTGAAAATACATAATTGCTTAATAGTAACCAAAAAATAAACAGCAGGAGAAAATGGCTGAAGTAGATGAAATCATGTAAAGAAAAAAACATCCAACAACGAAATATCATTGTCTTAATAAATTACTTTAAGGCAAATACCATTATTTAGAACACTTACAAGAGAACTATAAAAATAGGCGCTATGACGACACATGTTCCCGAGAGCACTGCAGGCTTTGGCACGCACATTGGGATCCTCGTGTGAAAGAAAATCTTTCAAGAACTCCAAAATAGTAGCACCTTTAATGTACTCATAGAATACCTGACCACCAGTAAACAGACAGTAATGATTTTTCAAAATATGATTAAGGAATATCCAAAATGCAAATACAGAAACCGCGAGTATATATTTGTTCAAAGTAAAACTAGAACCAACTGAAATCAAAATGACATTTTGACACTGAAACAAATACCTGCAGACAAAGCCTTAGACTGAAGATAGTCTAGTCTCTATATAAAGTCTAAAAGTTCAATAAATTCACAAAAACTAAATATATCCTTAGAGGATTAACTTGAGAATGGCTGCATCTGTGAATACCAAATAAGTAAACTAAAGATTCTTTTTATTTTTTTAACACAAAAATACATTTATGAAAAATAGACAGCACTATCTCCACCCATGTACCTCTTTCTTTTATGTGCACTCACCAGCCTTAGTAAAAAGAATAGATAGAATAAAGGTAAGAACTGACTGACTTTGGTATTTGCATTCACAAAATCATTTAATGGAAAATGAAACTAACCTTGTCCATGCGAGCCAGATCAGAAATAATCATAAGAGCATCCAGTGTGACCTCTTTTGGGCCCGAACAATCAAACAACTTTCTCATCCTATTTGGATCCAAAAGACCTTTACTCACGAGTTGGATTGCCAAAGGTCGGTGACATACTATCTTAGCCAGAAATGCGACAGGCCTGCCCAAATCATTCAAATCCATATGATCTACACACCGAAGGATAATACCAGGCACACCAACCTGAAAAGTTCAAACCATTTAATGATGATAACATGACCATTAAAGTAAATATAGCAATTCATCGGCTAATCAACTGAAAACAAAATATAAGTAATAGGAACTATTAGAACAGTTACTTTGACATCTCACTACTATCACATGATACAATGATATTGTTTGGAGCTTCTTAATCTCCAATAAAAATTACCAAATGAGGAATCGAAAAAAGAATTTACCTCTACAAGTATCTTAATATATTTTCCCATATCTTCTTCAATTGCCTTAACTATACCCTTATCTTCCATGCATACTCTCTGACCAGGGGAGCCCATATTAAGAAGAAAGCCACTGCTGACAGAAGCAGTGGCTGAAGGCAAGCCAGGTGCATTTTGAAGAGCAACAAAAGGAAATGCTAAGATATCTATCACAGCATTTATTAGATCTCTGACTCCTGCTTTCCCTCCACCAGGTCCGATCCAGCATTTCACTAACTTGATATGAACATCACATATCAAGTTAGAAATGAGCTTAATATGTTCATTCCTAATCAAAATTTGACGATATACCAAAGCACCTCCAGAAAGACAATGACATAATAATGAAATTGTCCATACAACACCAATTGGAGACAATCCAACTCTATCATTTTGATGGTCGGTTCCATGAGATGCGTTTAAAACATCATTGCCTAATAAGCCCATAAGAAGTAGAGGAATGCCACTTGCACACAACTGCTGAACAGCCAATGGTCCTCCCCACTTGATTCTGGAATCTAAAAGACCAACATACCCATCTCTTACCCCTTGCCAATAAGAGAGTTTCCCACTGAAGTTGCAAGGGTCCAATTCATTTTCGTTGCCACATGAAAATTTAAGATGATCACTTAGTGTAGAGGTTCGAGGAATTAAAGGTATTGCAATTTCAGATATTGGAGACTCAACTAAAGCCCCAGACTCGAGAGACAGAATGGATGCCAAAGCCAACATGGCTGATGCACTTTGAGGTTCGATGGAGGCTTTTATTTTATCATCATGACTAATATGATGTGAAAGCACCGAAAGTCGAGCAAGCTGCTTCTTTGGTGCGGTAGTGAGCATAAACATTGCTGAATTTCTTCCCGTTGACTTCAAACACTGAGCAATTATTGCGAGAACAAGACATGAATGTCGAACCAGAGCAGAAGGAGTTGTTAATTTGAACTTTACATTACTTGGTTCTATACTCTGTGCGTCTTTGTTAACAGAGGAACTGCATAATGATAAAACAGTGAAAACTTCTGAAACAATAGTTCCATCACCACCCCCACTAACAACAGTAGTCACCGGAAGGGAACTGGGAAGACCACAAAGGACAGCTGGAACAATTTCATTATGTAGGCAGCACCTTGACAAAAGCTGGAAAAACAGAATATAAAAATTAAATCACCTTTACCTCTGCCATAATTACAACCACAAGCTTTGTGCAAATAGGAATTATGTTCTACAACATCATCAAGAAAACAGCAAAAAAAAATATTTGATTGATTTACCAGATTTGACCAATATAAAACATGTATAAAATGCGTTGCCATATATCCAAAAAAAGGGGCAAGCAGTAAACCACAATTACCTGAAGACAACAATTCATTGCAGACTCAAGTCGTTGGTGAAAACAATAGTAAACAGCAACCTGGACAGCTTTAGATCTAAGAAATGCTCTTGTCATTGAATCAACAATTTTTGCTGAATCTGCTTTGTCAAAGAGATTTTGCTCATGTTGCAAAACTTCCATCCTATGCAAAGAATGACTGCGCAACGCATTAATGGGAAACAAAATGGCACATTTTTTCATAAAAAGAATATCCAGTGCATTAATCAAAGACCAGATAGCTCTGCATGCTTCAGAAGCAGCCCTTAACATGTTGGAAGAACCAGAAATAAGACTTGATCCAGATGTGGCTAAACACAGACATAGATGGTCCACTAAACCCATCGTTTTTGCGTGGTCTAAAATTTTGTTAGCTGTTTCATTCGATGTCTCTTGGCCTGAAATTTGAGATGACATGAGCACCTGAGCAACTCCAGACAGCATGACTGTAATGCAAGCACTGGATTCATAGAGAACTCTTCCAGATGCATCATTATTTGATGCTACAACCTGAAAATCTTATAATATTAAGTACTAAAAACAAGTAAGAAACAGACAATTATCAAGAGCTTATGCATCTAAGTTATACAAACTAGTATTCAGTGCATATAGGCTGGGTGAAAAAATGAATGAAAACGGCACAACTTTTATTGAAAATATAAATTATCAAGATGTGAATTTCATGACGGAAAAAGTGTTACCTGAGAATAGATCTCAACAAATTCAACCCAGTGACTTAGATAAGATCTTGAAAAGCAACTTCCGCCATTATCTAGCAAAATCTTAGTGATAGAGAAACCCTGCACCAAATAAAATAGCTTAAACTTGGGAATAGTCGGTTATTGTCAAAAACCCAAAATGTAGACAAACCCAGTTTAATGTCTGCCTCATTAAACTAAGAGCGTCTAATTTAATTCATGTGCTGGGATTAATGCCTTCTTAAACAATGTGTTACAAAAGCCTAACCAGATGCAATCAGCACTTCAATCAACCAATGCCATTATGTCCTATCATAAGTTATGTCTAATGGCAAACAATTTGAATCTATATCTTTCATTAGTGGTTTGGCCAATAGCTTTCCTTACTCTCCTTACTAGGTCTTAGAATTTTAGTTTAAAATCTAATTCAACTCCACAAATAAGAAGTGAGGTTTATACCACCATATATATACTCTAAATTGGTCTTATCTTTAATCAATGTGGAACTTCCTACACACTCCCTTCACATTGAGGTATATACATCTCGAGCATGGAACTAGATATTTGTTAAGAAGGGGACTTTAAGCCTAGCTCAACTCCACAAAACCAGCTTGTAAAATAAGGTTTGCACCCAATTATATACTTTAAATTGATCTTATCTTTAGTTGATTTGGGACTTCCAACACATCTCCTCATGCCGAGGTATATACTTCTCAAGCGTGAGACTAGACACTAATGGGTGGTCCAATAGCGGGTGGAAGGATATGCCCAACAAATTTCGCTAGGATAAACTCTAACCTAGCTCTGATACCAAGTTAAGAAGTAAACTTTAAACCTAATTCAACCCCACAAAACCAGCTTGTAAGGTAAGGTTTGCGTCCACTTATATACTTTAAATTGGTCTTATCTTTGGTCGATGTAGGATTTCCAACAATATTAATGGGTGGTCCGATAATGAGTGGAACAATAAACCCAACGAACATCAAATTTCACTACGATAGACTCTAACCCACGGCTCTAATATCATGTTAAGAAATGGATTTTAAACCTGACTCAACCTTATAAAACTAGCTTGTAAGGTGAGATATGCACCACATATATACTCTAAATTGGTCTTATCTCTAGTTGATGTGAGACTTCTAACAAGAACCAACGTCTTAAAAGTTGCACTACCCAACACTTGACTCAACCCTTCTTGTCAATCCTTCAATAGGTAGCCATCCCTTTCCAAGAGGCTACCAACTCTATTAGGACATAATCAAAGCAGTCCAGGAATGAGTGCAATCAATTAAGGCAGTTTTCCAACAATAGGGCTTCTACTAGTCTTTTCCCTAGATGCTAGGACATAATCAAAGCAGTCCAGGAATGAGTGCAATCAATTAAGGCAGTTTTCAAAAAATAGGGCTTCTACTAGTCTTTTCCCTAGATGCTCCCCCAATTTTTCCCATATACTTCAAGAAAAAAACAGTCTTAAAAAAACATGGGCTCTCAAGGATGATATTTTGGGAGGCAATTGATAAAGAGTTTTCACATTATTGGAACTCAACAAAGCTAAAAGGACAAACCCCATCCACATGGACAAAACCACTCTCTTGTCATCTCAAATATTGAGGCTAAAGGAAGAACTAAAGGAGAATAAGGGAGTAATAGTTTCATGGATAACGAGGTAGAATACATACGATGTGTGTAAAGTTCAGAGCAATGCTACCAATTTATAAATACAATAACTTATTAATCAGATTACATAGTTGTACGCCTAGTATAAGCCCGAGTTCACTAATACAATGAATAAGACTGCTAGCTCTAAATAAATTTATTAAGTAAACAAATCAAGAAACATAAGAAATTATAAACAGCTCCTAAGATCGCTTCTTCAACAATTACTAAGATTGCTTCCTAAATTATATAACTAGTAAACTAAATGATTCCATAATAGATTATATTCCAAAAAAAAAAGTTCTGAGATATTCACACGGACTGAAATATTCTAGCATGCATCAAACTAAAATCCAATCATGTTTTACCAGTCAAAATTTAAAAACAAAAATAATATAATAGATGTCATTGTCATGTACCTTTGCTATCATGTCAGTAACTTCAGAGGACTTAATGGCTATAACAGATCCAGTAAACACAAGAAGCTCTCTTATTAGTTCATCTATTCGTCCACTAGAATTGAAGGCACCAGCTGCAACTAGGTTTGAGAGAATCCTCAATGACTGATTTGATTGAGGAACATCTTGATCACTGTACATTGCTCACATGCAATTAGACTTCAAAGATAATTATGAAAGTTGTGTACTCGAGCCTAAAAAGCAATAACTTTTAATTTAAAGGTCACTGAATTGCTGAAAGTGTTTTAAAATTTAAATAACTATATAAAGCCTACTTGTCGTCAATCAATATGATTTATTTTATTTTTATGTAGAAAATAAAGAGAGAATAGGACAACACCACACTAAAGGGAACCTATTTTTCCATGAAAAAAAAAAATACATGAAATGAAAAGCCCAAAAAACACTAGACTCTGAGTTTGCATTACTATTTCAAAAATAAAAGACAATGATTTAGTCAGAAACAATGAAAACTTAAAAGGGTTTATGTGATGCAGCAGTATCTGCAAATCAAATAACACTAATATTAGCACTTTTACGTCCTTCGCAGCAAACTACAATTGAGAATACAACTGAGAAGATAATTATAAAAATAGAAAAAGTAAGTTACATAAAGCCTTTCTCAACAAATCATTTATGACGATACCTGCTGAAAATACCCAAGGTATGACAAGAGAGATCTTAGGAAGACATAAAAACAACATGGTGCTGCTGGCACAAAATAGAAGCCAAGTACATTACAAACTATTTGCCTAGAATAAAAAATAAACTAAAATGTCACATAGAACCTGATTGGAAAAAACGTCTCCATGAGGATTTCTAGAAGAGAAAAAATAAGAAAAAAAGTGCAATGAGTTTCTCCAAAAGCTAAATTTAACTTGTACATATGTTAAAAAATAAAAACTTAGAAAAAGTAGAAGATAGAGTTTCTACAAATTAGCTTATACATAAGCTAATTTTAACATTTGAAGAAACATATTTCATTTTTTTTATTTTTCTTTCTTACAGGTCCTTGTAAAGAAGTTTGTCCAAACATACTTTTAATTAAGAAAAACATTTATAAAATAAGGCTGTTTCAATTAATTAGTTTTGATAAAAACACAACATTAAACATTAATTAGTTTTACAATGATTACCAGAGACATTCTGACAGTTTGACATACAAAAGCAGACAATCAAGGAAGTGAACTAAACCTCTCACTACCAACCAGCAAACATCATCTGGCTGGTCTTGCAGTATCAACAAGAGAAAAAAAAAAAAAAGTAAACAGCATTTAACTATGGCTCTTGGCCCCGTCAACGTCCAAACACAAACTAAGTCTATTTCAAGTAAATAGTTTAAAAATGCAACAATAAAAAGTTTATAGAATGACTGCTAGAGACCCTCTAACAGCCTGACGTACAAAAGCAGCCAATCAAGGAAGTAAAATAGACAACACATGATTTACTTAACTAGAGAGAGAGAAAGCACGTTGCAAATTTGTGATTGAACTTTTAAAACTATACGAAAAACATTATGCATTGAGCAGAAATACAATAAAACCATGTTTTGGAAGGATAACAAGATAGCATTTCTACATTCCAAGTCAAAAACAATACTTCCAGCTTCTGAATATTAAAATTGAAAAAAATCTTAAAAGAAAAGTTACAATGAGTAAACTCCAGATATTAAAACCAACTCAACATTTAATGAGATTCAGGAGAATTTAATCTGGAAAATAGAAGTTTTATTTTGAGCATGAAATTCATATATACCTGCAAATGTTTTGAGATCCTTTTGACCATTTTTGCAGTGGTAGCAGAATATGTCCCAACGCTTCATTATCTTGACCAATTATTTTTGCACTTTTAACTGTACGAGAGTTATTTTCAAGTCTGTCCAATCTTTGGCAGCCTGTCCAGAAGTATTTACGTCAATCATATTACACGTATTCGTGAAAATAAAGAATAATAATCGAGACATTTGAAAATTTATTTCAGAAAGTTAACAGAACAGAAATTGTAACACAAGTTCATAGTTCAATCCTTAAGAACACGTCACTAAAGTCCCGTAATGGATGCATACGAATGTTATGCATGCATCCATTCCTCAAAAAAAAATTGGTCAATCAAAGGCTTAAAGCCTAAACAAGAATTCAAGTATAATACACGGGTAGGACAAAACTCAAAAAAAAAAATGTCAATGTTTGAACAGCAGATGCTTTTACAGTTTCCACCAATTCATTTGTATGAAAGGATACAGCTCCAAAGGAAGTGATTGGAATGGAGAGAGATCATAATGAAAATTTTAACATTTTGTATTAGTATTATTTTGCAATGTTAGCTTTGAAAATGCGAAGGACATGTGAGTTTAGACAAAATCAGAAAAACAAGAAACCTAAAATATCGAGGAATCCCCTTTTCATTGGCCAGCAAGCCCATTTATAGGCTTAACCTCATATATTAGACCAAAACAATACCCACACTTTAATTCTTGGTTTTTTAAGTGTATGCGGCATTCAATCAATTCCTTTGGACGGAACATACGTGTCACGTCTGTTCTCATGAGCACCCCGAACAAATCAGAAATATAACATAATTACATTAACAAAAAGCTCACCCTACCAATTTAAATTTAAATATTAGATTTTTTTTTTAATTTAAAGAGGAAACGTTAAAGACATCCCTAACACATTAAAATAGAAATGTCAGGATGAAGAACCATTTGTAATTCCAATTTTTTTACCTGTACCCTTTTTTTCATAACAAAATGCACTAGGAAGGAATGTAAACAGGAATACCAATAGTTGGAAGTGCAGACACAAGATTTGAAATGATATTGGCATATGATGAGCAATAAAGCCCGGAGAATTACCTGACTCTACGATATTTTGATTTGAAAATCCCGGGGAATCATCAAGCACTGAAGAGTTAGTTCTGTCTATGTTATGACCATTTAACTGAGCTTCACTCTGAAGCGGTGAAGCAATATGCCCCTCCATACCTGCCATGTGATTGTTTTTGCCTGTGACAAAATAAACTATTACAACGAAGGGATAGAAAGTAACAAAAATTACGCATACTTCGGTTGTATATTATCAATATATACGACTAAGGTAGGTACTGTCACTTTGCAGAACTAGAAGTGGCTGAACCTGTTGGAGTTTGAATGGTTTTCCCTTCAACCATCCGTTCTGCTTCACTGCGCATGCGTGAACCATTTATCTCTCGCAATTCCTGAAGTTTCAATCCATGTTTTAATAAATTAATTAAGAAATCAACCAAGTTACATGTTGTGGAACAATCTAATACTAACCCTGGCCTCATGTTCATCAGAGGTTTCTTTAACAAATGGGTGCTCAAGAAGAGCCGGCCAAGTTAGACGACTTTCCGGTGCCTACTTGAAATAAATTCAGAAAGCAAAGCATTTTAAATATCATTGTAGATCAAAGTAAAATAAAGCAATGTGACAATAAAAAAAGGGATATATTCACAAGTGAGCTACCTTGTTAAGCAAACCCTTCAAAAAGCTTTTGAAATTTGGACTCATGCGATCAGGATATTTAACAGGATCCTGGATTGTTGAACTAGTAGTAAATATACACAAGTGATTAAATAACAAAAGTAACGCATTTGGGAAATGTACCTTAACAATGTGTCTGATGAGAGCATATACAGAATTTGTGTAAAATGGTGGTTGGCCAACAAATAACTCATACCTGTTGTAAACATGAAAACAAGGTGACTCATGACTGGCAAAGAAAATTGAGGGTCTGAAAGCTGTTCAACAAAACACAATACCATAACTACTAGTAACACAACGTCATCATTAAGATCACTCTTGGAAAGTGCAACAGATCTGGAATATTCATACTACACTAGGGTAAGGTGAAAGAATGGTTGAATATTACATGCAAGAAGCTGAGGAAAGTATCTTCTGCTAGAATGAAACAAGAAGTTCTGTCCAGAAAATGGCATAAGTATGTGACAAATAGAAAGGATTTAAAACGAGAAACCAAGAGTTGCAAAGGAAAAAACACCTAGGACAACTTCATAGCAGCCATCTCTCACTGCTTACTCAGTAAAAACCAAAAGCACCAACACATCAATCCTCTCTTCCTTTACCCTAAACATCTTCTCACACTTAGCCTCTTGTTATACAACTAAATAAAGGAACCTACTCAGAATACATCTATATGGCAATCGCATTCTCCATCCATGAATATATAGCAAAATACAAATGGCAGTTGTAAATCTTGTAAAGGGATCTACGATAAAGACATTAAGCATTAGGCCAGATTTAATGAACAATCGACCACAATCACAATAAAAAGTCCATTACTAGATGAAGATAAATAGAGAGACCCAACATACAGTATGACGCCAAGAGACCATAAATCTACAGTGTGGTTGTAAGGTTGTTCACGTACAAGCTCTGGAGCCATATACAACGGAGTGCCTGTAAAACATACTATGTCTAAATATTTGCACACTATAGAACTATCCTCAAGTATAAATTGCAGTGAAAGATTCCAAAAGTAACAAAATCAATACCGATCAGCCAAACCTTTTATAGATCGCAAAACAACTGTATTTGTAGACATTGCACGTGCAAACCCAAAATCACAAAGCTACAACATATTCAGAAGAAAGGGAAAAAAATCACACATATTAGACCACTTTCCGATGTACTCATTTGCAGGAAAGTTGAAATAGCTTCTCAGGGGCTCAAAAAAGCTTTTATTTATAGCTTCCAACGACAAATTTTGGAAAAATAAACAATAAATATTTACATTAAAAAAGCTGAGCCAAACATGCACAAAGTGTCGCCAAGTGTGTTATTGGAAAGGTGTACCGAACTATTGAATGAATCAAAGCTTAAACTCGGTTACAATGTAAACCATGACAATAGATAGTGGATTAGTGGCAAATTCTACTATATCAAGCTATAAGACAGAAATTTAAGTGCATGTTTCACCATGTGAACAAACTAGCAGTTAAATAAACCTTGACAACAGATCCAGCACCAATTAGAATATTTTGGGGCTTCATATCGCGATGGATGATCCGATTGGAATGCAAATAGTGTAAAGCTTTTACCTGCATAACCCAAACTAAAAATGAACTTCTGCTAAGATGATATAAGATACATGCATATATATATATATATATATATATATATATAGTGCTCACATATTCAATTAAAGTATTCATCTGCGTTTTCCTCATCGAAAGTTATTAAAGAAAGAGCGAAGATCACTTAATAAGAGGAAATACCAATTGCTTTGCAATTGCTTGAACTTGGCCTTCCGGAAGGCACTTATCATCCTCAAGAATCTCAAATAGCTCACCCTGCAAAATAAAAACAAATTTTCAGCATGACAACATTTAAATTGAAAGTTCTGTTCCACTATCAGCTAGCTGAGTATACTTAGATCACCAATTAATGGTGTTAACATTCAGATACTGAAGTATGAGTTTGTCAACTGAAAATACAGATGATTACTTGTGCAAATTCTGTAACGACACAAAATTCTTGCGGGCTTTCAAAGGAATCAAGCATTTGAATGATATTTTCATGCTTCAACTTTCTTAAGATCTGCAAAGTTAAGGATATCATATGTCACCAGTCAGCACAAACATAAGTAATTAATAACCATATTAATAAGTAGCAAGAACAATAACAAGAAAACCTTATGCCCTACAAGGTAAAATCAGGTGCATTCATTGGTTATGCAAATGGGCAATACATCAACAAATCATTTAAAAAAAATGAAATGATTGTTTCTACTAATGTTACCTCATGACTTAACTGTAACGACACAAAATTACTAATCTATAAGTGATACTACTTTTCGTAAGGGCTTTTTGCATCCACAATTTCACACCATGTTATCTTTGTTAAGGGAATAGTAGTAACCGTTGCAGTAAATGCCGAGGCAACTATCTTTGATATCTTAATAAAAATGCAGACACACACAAGTCTTTGTGTCCGCGGGTAATAATAACAATCATAATAATAATTACAACAGATATTATGATTAAAATTGAAAAATAGTAACCATTAACAAGAAGCTTCTTAACAAAATACTCATGATGATCATACCTCTGAGGCAACATGTCTGTTCCAAACCCAAATACTTTTGACACTATAGTGGTGACAAAAATAGAAACCCACGCCACAAAACAACAAGCTACACAAACTCCATGACCAACGCTTCTCAAATTTCTTAACAACTAAAAATCATTAACAATGAGATTCAAATAGCGTAAAAACAGTATAGAAAAAAATGAACCAATCACCTCGATTTCCTGCCTTAAATTGTGAATATCCTTCTCAGTTTTCCCATGCTTCATTATGAACTTCATTGCAACGGTCTAGTGATAGAGAATCGAAAGTGAGATAACAATCGCAAAGATCGACTCAGAAGAAACCCTAATCAGAAGAGTAGCTTACCAGCCCCGTGTGCTTGCGCCTTCCCTTGTATACCTTCCCGAAGGAACCCTCGCCTACGAGTTCAATCACGTGGTAGTTCTCAACGCCCATTCTTGAATTCGAAGTGTGTAGAGAGAAGAAGAAGAAGAAGAGCGAAATTAATTTGGAAATGTTTAAAAGTGGAAGAGATTTGAAAATGTTGCAGAACGTTGCAGAACGAAGTGTGTAGAGAGAAGAAGAAGAAGAAGAGCGAGACTAATTTGGAAATGTTCAAAAGTGAAAGAGATTTGAGAACGTTGCGGAACGAATGAGAGAGAAGAGAGCAGAGAAATTCGAATTTCTTTTCCCGCTCCACTCTTTCCAATATTTATTATTTATTAAATTAAATAAATTATTAATTTTAACAAGAAAAAAAAAATAGTCGAACAAGTTTAGAAAAGTTAAATATGTGTTAGATTAGATCAACGGTAGATTATTTGATGTTGTATGCTATCCATTGATCTCTGATAATTTTATTTGAAATTATTTTCCCTAAAAAACTGTTACATTATTTTTCCCAAAAGAACAAGTGAAATCGTATTTTGAAGTGTTTTATTAAATACATTTTGAGAACAAAAAGTGAAATGAAAAAAAAATCATAGGATAACAACAAAGTTAGAAACAATTTGTTAAAAGTTATAAGTACAATTAGATAATTTGTCAGCAAATAAAAATATATTTAGCTTTATTTTTCAGTACAAAGTTATTTTTAAATTTTTAAAAACGTGATTTCTTTCAGATGCGTAGTTGCATGTTATGAGCATCTTAAGCTTATATGCAATTTATTTATAAAAATAAAAAATATTATTGGTAAGGAATTTTCAATTGTATTAATTAAATAACAATTAAGTAAGAAGTAAAACTTGTGTTGTGCCAAGTGAAACAGTCAAAGTAACAGACCATCAACGGTCGAATTAATTAATTAATGCTAAAATTAAGAAGATAAGACGTTTAAAAGCATGGTGCAAACTGAACACTCGTAGTCAGACTAATAGGGAAAATTTATTAATTAAAGTAAAGTTTGGGAACAGATGTAAAAACATTTAGAAGTTCCAAGATATTTTGATTAGTAAATAGAAAAAATATGTTATTAGCACGTTCTATATTATTGATGAAAAATAAAAAATTAATTCTAATTTATTAAAAAGTATAAATTTTATAAAATTTATTTTTTATTTTATAAATCTTATTTTAAATTTATAACTCTATTTTTCATCTTTTCCTTTTTTTACTTTCGTCAATTTTTTTCTTTCTTTTTTAGTTTTTCTCTATTCTGATTTTAAATACATCTTTTTTTTCTTCCTCTTTTTAAATATTGGCATCATTTTGTAGCAATTAACTAAAAATAATTACTTAAATTTATATTAAAATTTGGTTATATTGGATTACTTTGAAAGAATTTCATAGAAGTTATTTATGTTTTTGGGATAAATATGTTTTTACTCTCACAATTATAATTAAATTTTTAATTTTGTTTTTGTAAGGACCTAAAGAATAGAATATTAGAGTAGATAAGTGTATTAAAATAATGAGACGAACATTTTTATTTTTATTTTTATTTTAAATAATCTTATAATATAAATAGAAATTTCTAAAGTTCGATTCATTATCTAAATCACATCTATCTCTCTAAAACTATATTCTCCTTTAAGTTTTCTGACTTCTCTCTACCATTTCTCACTATAGTGTTATCTGTTCAACGATCAGAGAGTGCCTAAAAGTCCTTGCGTCAATGACAACAATCTCTATCGATCAATTTCTCGTTTTGAACCGGTAAGATTCATTCCTCTTTTTTCGGTTTTCTATAATTTTATGGTTTCATAGAATTTCTGCTCCTGCATATGTTTGGAGTTTCCTTCTCCTAATTTCTAGTTCCATTTAAACTCTAAGGACTTGTTCTTTTGAGTGGATTTGAGGGGATTTGAGAGGATTTGAAGATAATTTTTTTTATCGTTTTTTTGAGCAAATTTGGAGGTAAATGAGAGTGAATTTGAAAATAATTTTTTTTAATTTTTCATGTTAATACAATTCTATACTAATTCTCACAAATTTTATTTTCAAATTCACTCTCATTTACCTCCAAATTCTCTCAAAAAACGATAAAAAAAATTATCTTCAAATCCTCTCAAATTCATTCCCTCAAATCCACTTAAAAGAACAAGGCCTAAGAGTTGTTTCTATCACTAATTGGTGATTTGTAGGTGTTTCTAGAGTTTCCTTACCGTGTAAGGCACGGTCGGAGTAATCTTGTGAGCTGGGCAGTATATCTCTAAGGTAAGGGAAGCTAGATATGTTTTAATTTGATGATTTAGTTGTTCATTTTATGGTTACATGGTTATTGAATTAGTTGCACTGAAAATGATGTTTGATGTAAGTAGATACTATGTATTTTGATTTGGTTGAGTGTAAAATGATGAATGGGTGCTTTGAATCGCTTGAAATGGTGTAAATCTGTAATTATATGTTTGAATTGTGATAAATCTGATATAGGGTTATCTCTTGGTAAATTGAAGCGAGTTATTTTGACTTCATAGTTAATTTAGAGGAAGTGAGGTAGTGAAAATGAGAAATTGGAGTTAAGAAAATATTGATGTGAGCAATGGACATATAAATAAAGATTCAAATGGAATGTGTGAAATGTGAGTGATCAAAACAAAGTAGGAATAATTTATGATTTTAGTGTGATTCATATATATATATATATATATATATATATATATATATATATATATAATTTGAATGATAAAAGTTGAATTGTGATGAATGAAATATAATATAATTAAATTAAAAAATTATATTGATAATTTTGAATTTTCTTAAATTATGTATGATAAAGTGAATTTGAATAAAATATTTAAAATTAATTTTAAACTTTTTTTTGAGATTACATGTTACGTTGCATTATACAACCATTTTGACATTAAAAAAAATTAAGTAATTCATTATTCGACAGCATGTGAAAATTACTCATATTGAAAAATAATGGAAGTTGTAAAAAAAAATAATATGACACTAGTTTAAATTGAAAAATACTTTTTTTTTCACAAAATAAATAAAAGATAAATTGAACTTGTGACAAACATGCATATATAATAAAGACGTTATTCAGTTATAATATTGGAAAACAGTTAGAGACATACAACAGACTGTTGCGGTTACAGTCATTCAAAATAAAATCAGAATTAGTCTCTTAAACATAAAGGACCCCTGAGAAGTATTATCAAAATAGCTCTACAAATTATAATCCTAGAAGTACTAAGCTGTCGCATCACCATCTTCTAGCGCTTGCTCCACGGACACCTTCTCTTCATCTGCTCACATCCAATTGGATGATCATTGCAAAAGAAAGCATACCCAAACAAAACACAACCACACAAGCAAGGGTGAGCTAGTTTTACAAGTCATCATACAATATTAGAGTAAATAACACATCAAGAACTACTTCAATCCAAGCAAGTTAAATCATACAACCTAGCATGTCATATACTAGACTTGACTCGTCCGGACTTAGAATGACTGTCGAGCTATGGCGGGTTATGCACTCGTGGTGGCTTATGAAACATGAGTTCCCCATCCTACCACACTCACGAGGTTAGCCTGTTCCGGGCCTTGAGGCATACTGGAAGCCCCCAAGACTAAGACCTCCTGCTACTCCTCACCACATGGTTCAATCCTCTCTACTTGAGAATGAAAGACCATTGGAGCGTCAGGAAAACCCCCAAGACTGAGCTTCCCTGCAGATCATTCTAAACACTAAGGCACCACCATGAATCTTCTCCTTGAAGATCATGGAATTACGTCAATCCACCATACTTATTACATTCAACCACCAAACATGTCTCATACATTCACATACTTTCAGTATAATAACATTACCACGATCATACTATGCATTTCAATCATTCCGCACACTTAATTCAAACCAAAACAAGAGCAAATGAGCTTGAACCGAATGTTGTGAGTTTTGGCAGAGCACTGAGAGCTTTGACCGAACGCTGTGAGCCTTGGCCGAACACCTAGAGCCTTGGTCGAACACTTAGAACCTTGGCCAAACGCTTAGAACCTTGGCCGAACACTTACAGTCTTGGACGAACGCTTAGGGCCTTGGCCGAACACTAAAACCTTGGCCGAACGCCTAGAGCCTTAACGCTTAGGGCCTTGGCCGAACACCTAGAGCCTTGGCCGAACACCTAGAGCCTTGGGCGAACACTTAGAATCTTGGCCGAACACTACTTAAGGTTGACCACTAAGAGAGATCGAACGCTATCAAGACCACCATTAAGACCGAACGCTACCAATACCACCCACTAAGACCGAACGCTACCAAGACCACTCACTAAGACCGAACGCTACCAATACCATACACTAAGACCGAACGGTCAACTGCAGCGTTCTGCATAATTATGCAGAATTCTGCATAATTGCTACCAGAACCCAACATGACCATTTCTAACCATTTTTACTAACTTCTAACACCCTTAATTCTTGTTTTATACTTAATTAAACTTATCTAAATAATTCAAAACATTCCTACTACCATTTTAAAGCGATTAGAGTTCAATTTTAACTCTAAAACACCAATTTCAACAACTTAGGGACCTAAATCCAATTATGCTATTTTTAACATGTTTTATTCTAGTTTTAGGACTCGGACCGGTTCTAATTGACTCATCTATGCTAGCCCAAACTGCCCAATTGGTCATTGGAGACGAACCCAATGTCTGAACACATCAAACTCACCTTCGACGCCAGCACATATGACTAGTCACAATTGACTAGATCAAACCAGGGCTGCTCTATGATCAGAGATGTGCCAACTCAGGTTTTTAAGGTTCCTCTATCCTACCAACAAAGTACTCTCAACAAATCCCAGTTAATTTATTTAAGAGTAGAAAGAAGTCAGAGCAAGAAGAAGAAAACTCAGATGTTTAGAGAGAGAAAGGAGAAGGGGCAAATGAACTCAGAGTTGGAAAAAGAAAGGCCCCTACTAAGGTCAGGGTGTCCTCAGTGGTATGGGCCGAACTACCTCAACATAAGGCCCACTTATTTCTCAGGCCCTTACAGAACTAATACCCAATAGATCAACATAATATTATCCAAGTAAAAGAAACATAAATAATTTTAAAAAATACTAAAAAAATTAGTGATAACTTAATTATTTTAAAAAAAGTATAGTTATATAATAAGATTTTATATATGAAATAAGTGTACTTATATAACAAAATTTATATAGTTGCATCTCTTTTGTAAATTTACGTTTATTAATTGTTTTTTATCAATAAGTTAACTATTTAGTTGATAATTGGTAAGTGTACCATATAGATCGTTCGATCAAACACATTTTCAAAGTGGTCGATCGGTCAACTATAATCACACTACTTTCTAGAAGCCTCAGAATAATATGTAATTGATCGGGTGTTATGTAACTGTTCGATTACTTATATATTAAGGACACCAACACAAACTCAACATGATTAACAAGGTAAAACATACTTGAGATATTGGACCGACCCTAACAAAAAAATCCACTTCGAAATTTATAAATACAGGAGTAAGGTAGGAAGTAAGTGATGACATTTATTAGACATTTAAGACTTGATCCTACTAACCGATCGATATTGTAAACTAACTTGAGTGTCATAATGTCTTTGACAGGTACCTCGCTCGGCCCGGACTTTGGAGGAGTAAGGAGGAGTTAAGACATAATTAGAGGAACTACATTGAAAAAGGAATAAGATAAAAAGGTGTGAAAGAGTAGCTCTCGACCCCACAATCCCAAACAATAAGTTTTTATTTTATAAATCTTACTAATAAACTAATTTATTAGATTAAAAATATTCAATTAATAAGCTCATGAACTAATTCATTCACAAATATAAAATGACATACAAAAATAGAAGTAGATAATTTTTTTGAAATTTGTACTTTTTTTAAAACAATTAAATTAATATTAAAGTTTTTAGTACTTTTATTTATTTTATAAAAATTATATGCATTACATTCTTTTATATTAACAAGCCATTTTATTAAAATAAGTTGACTTTATAAATATATAAGTGTTTGAAATCTCACTAGGATTAGAGATATCACGAGTTTATATATATATATAATTTGATACAAATCTCAATTTACATTGTTTTTGATAGAAATTAAAATGTTATCATAAAACATAATTTAATATGTAAAAAAAAATTAATGTAATCAGTTAAAAAAATTATATTTATTATTTTTAAATTTGAAAACAAAAATATATCAAAATTTGAATCGATGAATTTTAATTTCACATCTAGACTAAAAAATTGAAAATATATTAAATGCTAAAATTAATAACGTTAACGTGTATTATATGATACATAAAATAAATTTCTGATAAAGATGACTCTATATTTATGTTAATTTAAGTAACTATTAAAGTTTAAATTAATATATTTATTATATCTGACAAAGATCATTGTATATTAATGTTAATTCAAGTAATTATTAAAATATAAATTAATACACTTATTAATGTTGTATTTATTGTATTCATTACTTTTGTAATTTAGTTTATTGTCAGAAGCGTTTCCAAACTTTGAGTTTATTTCTTACCTCACTTGCTTGCATTTCAAACTTTCACTCCTCTGAGTCTGCACCAAAATCAGCCTTCTTTTTATCATTAATCAAACAGAAACAAAGACAGAGTGGGAGAGAGATCCATATTGGTTTTTCAATCTCTTCTGTTTCATTTTGAGTTCAATTCTGAGGTATCATAGTAAATGAATAATGAATGATCACAAACTCCACACACTTCACTTTTGAAACATTTGTTTGGTTCCATAATCTCAAAGTTCCCATTTACACTGCACTCTTACTTGTCTTCTCCATCTCTTTCACCCCTTTTATTGTTCATTCAAAGTAAGAACCTTTCAGTTTTTATTTTTTCCCTGTCCATTTGCTTGTTTGCTATCAAGATTGTATTTTTCTGTTCAGGAAAGTCTCTATTTATTCGGTTCTCAGAACCCTTTATCTGTTTTGACCCCTTTTTATGTTTTTTGTTTTCTAATTCTTGCTGTGTGATTCCATGCACCTGGATATACCAGTCATGTTTCCCACAATTGGAGAAATCACTGACGCTTCTGTTTCCTACAAAAGTAGGACTTGGCTTGTGATTTACATTCTCTGCTTATATGAGTTATAAAAAGAAAAAGGAAAGAAGAAAAGAAGAGAACTTAGGACATTTTGATACTTTGATATATTCTTGTGTATGCTTAAACAGTTTATTTTCATTGACATGCATAAGGACATAAGGGCCCCTTTCAAAGATTAATGAGCATAGAAGCATGCACCTATATAATTCTATATGATGCTTTTTTACTCCAATAATGCCTTTATGCTATCATCACTAGGCACATATCACTTGCTGTGATAACTAGTGATATCAGCAACCTCAGTGGTTTTCAACTTGATACAAGCTATGAATGTTTTTTTTTTCATCTGTTGACACTCAGGCTTTGGCGTAGCTACAGAGTCTAATCCATTTATGAGTACCATTTTTTCATATTTGAATAATTGTAGTTTTTATGAATTATTGAATCATTTTCAATTGCATTTGTCAATAGAGAAAATATTACATTCTTAAAGATTCAGAGTTTCAGGTAAATATCATATGATTCTGATACTTCTTTAATAAGAGGTGTAGCTGGTGGAACTTCGTATCTTCACTTTGTGACTAGCCTCACATTTTTCATTTGATAAAAGTATTTACAACATAACCAGTGATTATATATGTTTTTTCCTGCAGAAGTCATCCAGAAGAGGAGCTTGCAGCCAACGAGATCCTTTCTGTTTTCTGCAGACCCGTAGAACTCTGCAACATTATTCAGTGACATTCGATGGGAACTGTACTCTATCTTATTTGCTAAAATGATCTGCATTGTCATAATTTTGTTTTTGTTGTTCTTATCATTTGATTTAGAATATGTATGAGATACTGAGTTGACTGTATATTCTTTGTGGTATAATTTTCTCGTAAATTTTCTGGTCCTTGAAGATACTGGGTTGCCGATAAACTATTACTTATGGCATGTTGTATTGCTAATAGAATTGGTTTTTGCTATGCAGCCAGTATTCCTTCGAAGATGCTTGCGCCACAAGGTACAGGAGAAGCAAAACAAGAGGTAAAAGTTATAATATATAGACAATTTAGAGGCAACTTAAGTCTCTAATACGAAGAAGAGGGAAATAAACAATACTAAGAAGTATTTGTTTTAGTGCATTTGTAAACCTTAAATAAGCTTTCTTATATAGCAAAGTGAAGAACACCATCTCATAATACTAAGCAATGTAGGACTAAAAACACACTACAAAAAACTTAATCAAACTACACAAAAAACTAACAGTTACTTGGTTGAAAGATCAAGTTCAAAACTTAAACTTTGATGTTTAGATTTTTTATGTCATTCCAAAATGAAGTAAGATCGGGAGTGTTAATTCAGATTGTTCTATCAATCGTATCTAACTGGTCTTAAGAGCATATTTAGCAATCATGTTCCTTCTGTCTTGATGAATTTCTTATTTCTTGTTTTAAGAGAAGGAAAAATCTTGTTCTATTTGAGATGATACATTAAGTTTCTTATTTTTGTTCATGACTCCTTTTTTTGTTCTATTGTGGGGTTTGCTTTTCCAGATAAGGTTTAATTTACAATAATCCAATGAGACACTGTGTTCATTATGTTCTATCCGAATATGATTTTTGATATGCTAATGAGATATTTTATTTGCATATGTAGAATACAAATGACAGTTTGCTTAAAGAAGGTTTTCAATAATGGCAAAAGTGTCTTTCCTATGTATGTCTGTCTGGCTAGGAGGGCTCCTAATAGTGGAGTTTCAATGGTAGGAGTGTTGCTTCTTAAAATCTGATTCAGTTTCTATTTCTTATACTAACCAGTTTCTTACTTCTTAGTGTAAAACTGTATGATAATAGCTTTTTTGTTTTTTAACATACCGAAAACAAAAAAAGGATACTGTTGTTTATCAAATTGGCCGGATTTTCATCTTCCGAAATTCCCGTGAAGTTGATTGGAATTCTGAAGTCCAAGTAAAGTTTACACTCCCAGAATTGAATAAGTTAGCCAAGGAAGCTAAATCTGACACAATTGATCTCTTGTTTGTCAGCGCAGCCACTGGTATGTATGTGCTATTATGATTGAATTGTGATGGAAGTATCCATAAATTTTCTAAGTTCCTTATTATGACAATTTACATGCAGTAGAGGACTCAAGTTTATCAAATGGAGCTAATTCAAACTCGTCGCCTTTGGATCCGAATCATCTGCCTCTTGGTGAATGTGAGATGTGCTTTAATTGCAAATTTTTTTGAGCCTGCAACAAGAACTAGCCCCATGTTCATATTTTATATGCTAATAATTAGGCAAAGTACTACTATGGTTTGACTGACTAGCCCCGTGATCTGATCTATATACTAATAATTAGGTCAAGTACTACTAATATAGTAGGACTACTAAACTAGTTACCAGATTTGCAATATTCTCTGGTACATGACATGCGACATTATGAAGTTTTGCCATGCTACAAATAGTGACGTATTTCTACATTTCTAACCATGAAAGTGAATCTTGCTTCATATTTTATCTGCTTAGTGATTTCTACATTGGGATGATTGTTGGTGGTGAAAAGTTCCAGATTACATACATCAATTATTGGGGTGTAGTTCATATAGTTGCTGGGCAATTTCACTTAATGTTATGTGAATTTAAGATAAAATTTGTTGCCTTTTCAGTTTTAAGATAAAATCTAGCATGGTATTAGAAATAGAAATTATTATTGGCCCATCTTAACTACTGTGATGTCGTTTATATATTTGTTGGACAACTTAACTTTGTGTTAATTGGTAATAAAATGTAATCTATCATCACATGGTAACACATTGATGAATGCCTCCTTGGAGGATTTAGAATCTCTACAACATCAATGCAATTGAGCCAAGCCAAGCTCCCATGGGTTGGTTCAACCATTCGATCATAACACAGAACAACCAAATGAAAAGCAAAATATGGAAGAGATTGATGATTGGAAAAGGATTTTCCTCTTTGAATATGGATACTCAAAGATAATAATTAAGGGTGGATTTCAAATCCAAGAGGAGTATTCCTCACATTTTAGAAATTGGTAAAAAAAAAATTGATTCAGAGTATTCAAATGACTTTGTTTACACTGTATTTATTGAAAAACAGAAGCTTGTACTAGAGCTTCTTAACTGGGTGTCTAGTTTAGTAAACCTATGCTAACTACCTAGAGTTTGAGAAGCTTCTCTCATAAGCTAAGTGGAAGAAACTTCTCTGACAAGTTTTAAACAAATATTAGTTAACTATGTACAAGGTGGATGCCTAAAACCAAATTAACTCCTAAAATTTTGGCTAACTAACTAATCAATGTAAATTTCAGATAGCCCTTTACAAGACTACTACCGGCAAACACAACAGAATTTTTGTCTCTAGTTTGTTAGGTACCATGCTTCCTTAATTTCAGATATGGTTTGTTCTTCATGTGATACAAAATACTAACCCAGTAGTATACTAATGATTTGGCCAAGTACATATTACAATTACAAGAGGAAGCCCTCTAGTACAAAAAACTACAAAATCCCTAATTAAATTATGAAAATCAGTAAACACAATGAACTGTAATTTCTCAATTGGGTAACTAATTTATTCCATTGTATTCTCTTCAAATTGTGTAAGATATTCTTAAGGTACTCAAATACACAATTAATGCATTGTAAAATATATTTTTGATGAATGGAAGTAATAGATTAGTTTTCCCCCAAATGATTTTTTAGTACATGATGGAATTTGTTCTTCATTTTGTGCTTGACAGCTGGAGAGTACTGTCTTCTGGCGAAAGCAACTTTAGAATCAATTTATATGGCTTGGAATCATCTTCCTACTTTTCGTTTGGGAAACCGAACTGAGATTTGCACAACTTTGGATTTGTTTCCATGTATTCTGAAGGTATGATGATTAACACAATTATTTTTTTGTTTGAGGAGAAAACACTATCATTACTATGCTTCCTTTTACACAACTTATTTATAGTATATGATATGATATGCATGGCACTATATTTTTGGTCTAATAATCCATTTCAAGCTTTGTTATCTATTCTTCATGGTTCCAAAGATGTACTAGTTCATAACTTCCTTTATGCTGCAGTCGGATTTTCAAAATCAGGGTGAAAAAGTCTCCATTCAACGTCCATCTGATGACAAGAATATGGTTAGTTCTAGCTCCAAAGTCATTTCCCACTGAGCAAGAAAATCACACACCTAAACTCCATAATAGACTTAGATATCAAATGGCGAATCAATTGTATTGACTGCTGTTTGTTTCTTTCCTTTTGTTTGTATTTCTGAAGAGCATATCAGAGATGCATATCTCAATTTCTGCTGAAGAGTTTGGGTCCAAAGAGAAATATTCCAGGCCTTTCCTGCACCTATAGTGAAGTTTCGTCCTCATCATTTCTCATATGATCGGGGTAAATTGTTGGACTTTGACAAAATCTCAAAAAGGAAACACAGGGACTTGGATATTATTGCAATTTGTTGTTCATGCAGTTACTCTTCAACTAGTTTTTTAGCAACTTAGAATTTGTCTATTTTTCTATATGGATGATTCTGGATTATTTCTTCATGCTTATAGTTACAAACTATACTTTCTGAGATTCATAGCTGAGTTGCTTCATAGAATCCCAAAAAGTGGTGCAAAGCAGCCAATCCTAAAACTGTTTCTGCAGGATGGCTGGTAGTGACATGGTTACTTTATGATCCTGAATTCATATCAATACATTATATTAGACTTATATAACTGCTGAATGGGAGTTTGTGTGAAAGTGCATTCAAAAATGAGTTTTAGCTACTGTTGACAGTTGTTGAAAACCTCTGAATATATTGTGATTTCTGGTGCAGTAATGAGATTGACACCAAAGTGAAATGCTGTGACTGGATTTGTTTTAACTTCTCAATTAAAGCTGCATTTCATTTCAATGCATGATTTTTCTGATTCCCCTTCCTAATTTCTTAAGAAGCATGAACCTGATTTTTCTAAGAGCAATTGTGATAGGAGATTATTAGTATATGAGAGGAGAAGGAGACGTTAGTTCTCTAACTGTTTTGACATTTAGACAAGGGCGGGAATATGTGTATAAATGAGAGAGCGTTAGTTGGGGAAGGGATCTTTGGAACGTTGGTGTACATTGAACAGGACTGTTATTCCTGTTGGGGGAGGTTAGGCTCCCATTACTGTCCCTATTCTTGTATTCTTCTATTGTCTAATAATACCAGAGAGGTTATACAGAGTCTTGAATCAATTCTTGGTGTGTTAGAGTGAGAGTTGAATTAGGTTTCTTGATTGGAAACCTATCAATTTGGTCCGACCTGCCGGATCCGAATTGGGTGAGAAGTTACGCGACGTGAGAATGGTGAATGATAACGAGGCAAGATTGGAGGCCATTGAGATTACGATGGAGGGAATGAAGGCTGAATCAGCGGCGGTACGACGAGACCTACAGCAAATTATGAAGGCTTTGGGTACGCGTGGCAATCAAACGGAGGGAAGTTCGGATGACAGCTCGGTGAACGACAATCAACATCGAGTTGTGGGAGGAAACGAAAATGGAGGAACTGGCGATAGAGGGATGGAACAGAAACCTTGGCGGAAGAAGGTGGAGTTACCGACCTTCGAGGGAGAGGAGCCTCTTAGTTGGCTCAATAGAGCGGAGAGATTCTTTGACATCCAAAAGGTGACGAACGATGAGGACAAGGTGGAAGTTGCGTACGTAAGTATGGAGGGAAGCGCGGCGTATTGGTTCACTTTTTGGAAAGAAAAAGCAAGGAACCGTTCATTGGACGGTTTGAAGACGGCGATGATC